GAGCCTCATCACTTCGTGAACAAGCCCAAGGGTTGCCGAGCGAGAAGCAAAAACAAGCGAGAGAAAGAAAATGTATAAGAAAATGACATAAGAAAAATAAAATTTGCACTTTGAAAATGAATTTTTTTCTTGGGGATCCAGAGACACCTTCAGAAGAGAGAACTTTGACTAATGGTAGGAAAAAATTTAGGAGGGAATTCCTTGCCGCAGATTTCGAAAATCTTCAAAAACATAACCTGTAAGATATTCAAGTATCCAGTGCCTATTCGTCACAGGCTACTTTATCTGATTTTATTGACGCCATTTGTGCTCCCTCATCCTTTTTTTTACAGTGAAGTCGAGTTCGAGAAAAGTATCGGCCGGTGCATCGATGAGTTCTTTAGAATGATTTGTCGTGTTCAAACCCCCATAATGTATGCGGCCAACATCGACATGAAGACAATAGCAGAGGCTCAGGGGAAATCTATTGGTCTACAAATTACCAAAAATAATTCCTCAATGTCGGATATGAAATCCCTCATCGAACACTATGGTCCTGACTCCGACGAAGACGAAGACTCCGACGAAGACGAAGGCGACCCCAGGGACGTCCCGGGGATCACCCGTCCGACAGTGTACATTGGTACTCCAGGCTCGCTTTTCCAATGTCACAGGGAGGATATGGCATTCCAGGTACGTCATATACAAGACGGTGTGGGTGATGAGACGAGTGTCTCGTACACTGGCGGAGTCACCATGTATTTCTTAACGATAACTGTTTTAACTTCACCTGTTTCAGGCCCTCAACTTGCACGTGGCTGGTGCTCCTAAAATCTGGTAGGTGTAACATACGTAATGTAGGTTCCTGGTGTGAATTTGTCTGAGTCCGCAACAAATGCTAATAACGTAAGATTAGTTTTCTGGTTTTTATGTCTTATATGTTTTAATTCATCTTGTATGCCTCCAGGTTTGTTGTGCCTCCTAGATATTACAGGGCATTTATTCAACTGCTGGAGAAGATGGCTTTGCAGCCTGATGAGAGTCTTTGCAAAAATTTCCTCCAGCACAAAATGTACTTTTTTGACCCTAGAATTCTCCTTCGGTTTAAAATACCCGTTCATACGGTAAGTTTCATGCGGCTCTTGGATATAGTTACCTGGTCAACTATGTGGTTACCCACTGTGTTTACACGCAATTAACGTCCTCTCTTCCCCCATTAAAATGCAGATAGTTCAGAGACCTGGAGATATCGTGTACCTTCTACCCAACGCCATTCACTTCGGCTTTAACGTTGGGTGGAACGTGAATGAGGCTGTAAACTGTACGTCCGAAACGTATGCTTATCCAGGAATGTTGGCTCTTCAGCGGTGTAATTGTTCAATGTACGTGAAACTTCTGTTTGAATGCCAATGCATTAGTCATGCAATTAAATATCTGTGCGATGCTAACAAGATTCTACCTCGTTCTTTTGCAGTCTTCCAAAACAGGACGAGATTTGCATCAAGCGTATTCTGAGAGAAGCAGGCGTCTCTACTGCTAAGCTGAAGTTGTACGAGGGTGGCAAACTCCTGGGCATCTCTGCAGAATTGCGTACACTATATCCACACTTGCACCCTGAGTCTGGCATGCCTGGTGATGTGGATGTAAAAGACGACGACCTCCTTGGTGTAGCAAAACAAGACGAAGACTCTCGGGTAGGAATATTACTCTATATTCTGAAGAAACACTGAACAATGTCGGGACCTGCAATAATCTGATTTTTTTTTTGCCTCGTTTCTTATAGGATCAGAAACCATTTGAAATGGCTGAGTACCATGAGCCCACAGATGGAGAGTCAATTGTACTTGGAGGATACGATGATATTGTGATTGAGTTGGAAGACGAAGATATGGAAGTAGATGATGACGGAGATAAAGAGGTGGCAGCAGATGAAGAGATGGCAGGAGATGAAGAGAAGGCGGGAAATGAAGTGATGGTGGTAGAAAAACGAATGTCAGATAGCGAAGCAATAGCAGCCATAAGAGCCAAGTATAAACCAGAACCAGATACCAAAGGCAAGCACGCCTGTCCAGTTTGTGGTCACGATTTTCAGAAGTCTGGGGAAAACGCTCGAAAAGCTATGGTTTCCCATGCCAAAATGAATCACGTAACGACTTTTATTCCTTCAATTGAACTTTACTTCAAGACATATTATGTTCTGAAGACTGCCCCATCTACAAGTAACTTTCCCTGCGAGAAGTGTGGGAAAGGTTACAAGACCCAAAGCACCCTTGCAAGGCACCAGAGAGATAAAGGTCACGTACCGTACCCATTCCGGTGCGAGCGTTATTCCCCATGTTTAAAGAAATGAGCGAAAGCGCTGCGCTGCAATGCATAGTGAAGTTCGATTGCCCGCAAGGTGCCTTTTGCTATGTGTGTGAATACGGTGCAGCGCATGTGTCTAACCTGACAGAGACGCCCGCGCCACTCATCGAGTTTGTTATGTAACTCTTCTATAAACAGTGCGATCAGCTGGTGAGAATGTTGCTGCATACGCACAACGAACGGCTGATGGCAAAGTGGGAGCCCGTTGTGCTGCAACCTGCTGTAACCTGCAGTGGGGAACTCTTGGGCCAGAACGCACCAGCGGAAGCATTCCGCGTCGTTCTTATATTTGTTGTTAATTATTCCTAATTTCGAGTTACGGAGAGCTTTGGGAAGCGGTGTGTAGATCCGCGCGGCAAGCGGGGTGTACTCCACGACGCTCATCTCGATGAAGTAGACGGCGGTGATTTTCCACGAGCTGCCCTCAGCGATAAGGTTGTCCCCCGACTAAACGATCTGAAGAGTAGCCCTTTCCAGCTGCCGCTTCCCGGTCTCGCCGGCAAACACAATATGATTCATGCCACAAAAGTGAGAGACAATAAGAGAGATATTACACGAGATTTTTTGGAACTGTCCGATAAATATTCACGTTTACCATTTGTAATTAATGATAATAAGTATGCCTAACTGTCAGCTTTGCGTTCTTTTTGTTCTCGTCCTCGTCCTGAATGTGCACGTATGTTACAGATATTGTGTATGCACACACACACACACACACACACACACACACACACACACACAGGCATCAAATAAATTTTGTTTCATACTTTTGTGAATCATGGAGGGTTTATGGCAATCGTTGGGAGAAGAGATGCTTGAAAACATGTTTGCGGCTGAAGCCTCATTAATGGGCGGCTCATATGATGGCAGTGCCTCCGACACTGAGTGCGCTTCTAGCAGTGTAGACACGGCCGGTGCCGGAAGGCTGTCCGGCGAGGCAGGGCCCAGCGAGGCCCTCCGGGCGGGTCCCCAGGCGGGGGCCCAGGGTGATGGGGAGGGGCGGCAGGTTGAGCTCAATGCCAGAAATGAACGAATTGTTGGAGAGAACAATAATTGATTGCGAGGCAGGGGAGGGCGAGAGCAGTATCCTGGCCGACGTCACCTTACACCCCATAAATTTATCGACACTCCACGATTTGAGATTCAGACTGTTGCGCGGGGAAGCTGCAGCCGGCCCCTTAGCGAGGCTTCTGGAGGGAGAGGGGGCGGGGGCAGGGGCAGGGGAGGACAGCAGTCTTTTGGCTGTTCTCAATTTCACCGGAGAAAGTTAAGTCCTGGCCGAGGTGCCTATGGACATTGACGCTCTGGTTCCGGGTGGGGGTGAGGAGGGGGAGGGATAGCAGGGTGGGGCGACGCAGGGTCCCGTTGCAGCAGCAGCAGCCAGCCCCTCCGCAAGGTCTGCGGAGGGAGCAGGGGCAGGGGCGGCGGCAAGGGAGTACAGCAGCCTTTTTTCTGTCATCGGCTGATTTTCCGCACCCCAAAGACTTTCACGGTTTCATCAACTGCGCAAAACCTCTATTACCTCATATTAGAGTGCCGCAGAGTGTCATTTTGAGAGGCCTGAGAGGTGTCCCCACACCCCTGCCCAAAGACAGTTGCAGGGCACATGGGTTGCGGAGGAGGTGAGCTACGCCCTTGAAAACGGGTACACGCTTATCCAGACCCTAGGGGTGTGGGTGTATGACCGATGGACTCGCTATGATCCAACCAATAAAGACCCCCTGTGTGAGGAGAAGCTCGGCAATTTTTCAAAGTATGTAAATTCTTTTCTCAAGCTGAAATTGGAGGCGAGTGGCTGGTCGGCAGAGTGCGACACCGAAGGGAAGAAAAGGGCCTTTGTTGAGGCCAAGGCGGCGAACGGCGTGATGCTGCACGCCGACTGTATCGCACTCACCCCGGGTAAGCGCTCGCTGTCGGAACTCACGTTGAACAGCCTCTGGGTGAAATTCGGTCATAAACCTAACCTCAGCAAGCATGTTATGGTGACGGCTGTGGACAAGCACTACGACCTGCTCATGGATGAGGCCCTCCAGGTTAACAGCATTCTTTCCATCAATGAGCACACAGAGTTGGTTTCGTACGAAGCCAGGGAGGGCGCCGAACCAACAAGTCCAAACAACAATGTAGTCATTGCTGCTGACACGACGGCCCAAGCCCGCATTATTCTCCATAGATATCTAGCCACCCTCGGACAGAACGCATTGTACTTTGACACGGACTCGATGACGTTCAAACATTGGCT